AGACCACGATCTCGCCCTCGTCGTTGCGATACGCCGCCCTCTTCCGCAGCACCTTCTTGAGGTAGTCCTCAAGATCAGCGCTGGCAGGAAAGCGGTATGCCATGGCCTCGAACGTACTTATCTTGTCCGCGGCCATGGCCAGGAAGTCACTCTCATGGACCTCGAAGCTGACAGCAGCTCGTCCGAAGGCCAGAGCAGACTTGGCATCCGCCATGTTGGCAGGACTCCCGGGTTCGGGGACGTGGGTGTTTGATCCACTCATTGGGGCATCGGCACATGCGTCTACAATAGAGGTGCACCCGTCACGTCCATACGAAAGGACATGGATCCCCAATGGACGCTCCAGCATTGCATGAACTCTTGCGAACTGGGTTGCATGGCTACATGGTTTAAACAATCATGCTGGCACCCTAATTTTTGCATCACATCATATCGGTCAGCCTACAGATCCTCCTCTAGCACCTCTTCACTGTGCAAGGTGCACCTGTGCCTACTTGCTGGATCAAAGCCCTGCTCACTGGGGTTCAGATGTCCTTCTACCTGATCGCCTCTGCATCGTCGTCCGCAACGCAGCACAACCTTGCCCCCCTTCTTCAGCACGAAGTCACACAGCAAGGGGCACGTGGATGCTTCTGCATTTTTTCCAAAACACTTGTTGCAGAGCTTGTAGTTCATGCCCCAGCTGTGGTCCACGCCGAGTTCCGCGAACCTTGAACCCTGGCTCCCACACCTTGGCATGTGTTCGTCCCCGACTGAGGGTTTATGGATCTTTCCAGCTCCCGAGGCGAGTTGCACGAAGGTGTGGTGCATCTCTAGGTCCGTTGTTGCAGGGTCGCCCTCACTGTCATCAGAATCAGGGCCCCACTCGACGGCATTGGGCGATGTCTCAACGTGCTCGATCGGGTGGTCTTTGTAGTACTTGGCGGCCACATCTCTTTCCTTTCCCAGGGTGACCTCCAACTCCTCCAGGTCCTCTGCACCAGTCCCACGTAGCGCAGGGGGGAGTTCGGTAACAGGGACTGCGCAGTCACCGCTGATCCTACGCTCTCCCTGTCGATCCTCCGTGCAGACAATGGCGCGCCTCATGGCTTCCGCTCCCGAACCCTCCCCGCCGGTTTCAGGCAGCCTATTCTCCTCTTCGAGGGTCTCGACCGTGGCCCAATCGGGCTGTCGCATGGAGTCAAGCTCCTGGCCCTCCAGGGTTTGAATCACCGCCCCTCGGCGGATTTGATCAAGCACCTCAATCTGCGCCTTCAGAACCAAAATCTGAGATTCGCGGAGGTACAGGTCTGGCATGAGTTCTGCCGGGTCCTTCCAGGCTCCCTGGAACCTCACCGTCCTGGTGGTGACTTTGAAGTGGGTCATATAAGTAGGCATGGTCGTCTTGCAGCTGTGCCACCTCAGGTGCAACGCCTGCTCCCTGGGCATGATGTTCTGGTTTCCTCCATCGATGTCGGCGAGAAGCGCGTGCTTCACTGTCAAGGTGTCTTCAGAGATCAAGGGTGGATAGAGCTCCCACCCTTCCGATTTCCCTGCTGCCCTCCCGACGAAGGAATGGGTACGCCAATCATGGCCGTGCATCACTAGGAGGAGTTCCACCCATCGGATCAGCCACTTGTCGTTATCCGGATGAACTCCCAAGAGGCTCGCAGCCCACGTCCTGGGGCCGGATTTGGTGTATGCTGCTTTGGCACGGAGTCCCAAGACTCCCGAACTTCCAACCATTCGGCACCACTCAACGTCCCTCATTGCTGTGCCTGCCAGGTCGGAGTGACGGATGCTGGATTGCGTGCACAGGCGGAGCTTCCCGCAGGCAATGCGAGTCTGCAGGTCCCGGGCTTCGTCAAGCACCACCGTCTCCAGCCAGTACAGGAATCTGATCTCGAAGAATGGTGCTGGCCTTCGCTCCGGGGATTTTCCCACGTAATCAGTGCAAAGCCTGCGGACACGGGGGTGGGCACTTCCGGGTGAGTGGTACCCGAAAAGGCCTCCGAAGTACTCCACGGCGTAGAGGAAGCTTCGAGGGGTATAAAATCCCACTTCCTCTTCGATCAGGCTGATGACAAAAGCCTGGATCGCTTCAAGCCCCATGATCTTTGGCCCGGTGACTGAAGGGGTCCCATATTTGATCTCGTAGGCTTGAAGATAGCGTGACAGGAGGCGCGCATACCTAAGGGCGGTGCCTGCTGACTTCGGGTCCGTGTACCTGTGGAAGAGCGCGGAGTCGATGACGCCATCCCTCGAACTGACCGTCTCCACCAGGTCCATCTCCACCTCATGAATCACGAGTTCTTCAAAGAGGTGGGTTGCGAGCTTCCTGAACTCCTCGAGCTTGGCCTCTTCGAGGGGACGGCTCCGACGGGGAAGGCCTAAAGGGACATAAGGTGCGACTCGAGAAGGAATGGCCTCGGACCCGCTCGGCTTTTCAGCTTTCTTCGAGAATCCTCCAAAGATGCCTACTTCATCCAGGCCCTTGGCGATCCTACCTGGATCCAACTCTGGCACAACTGCCGATGGCTCAGGTTTCTCCTCAGGCTCCTCCTCTTTGACTCGCAGCTGCGGAACTTGAGGAGTTGGTGACACCGCCTTCTTTGCGAAGCCCAGAGGCGAGAGTGCCGCTCCTGTCGCCCAGGTGGGAGTATCCCGGGAGGAGCGGTCCGTGGAAAGGTGGGGCGTCGAAGCTGCTGAGGAAGAGCCCTCTGAGCTGGCGGGTACCTTGGCAGGCTTCTCCGCCTTCTTCTCGGTGGTCCAGCTAGGAGGTACCACCCCGGAACTCCGTGGTGGCCTCTCCTCTGACAGAGACTTCGCCACTGGCTCATCTGCCTGTTCAGATTCTCCCTGGATCTCCAGGGGCTGGTCACCTTCTGAACCACTCCGGATGGCTTCCAGGATTTCATTCGAAGGGACTCCATTTTCGATCATGCGTGCGATCTCCTCCCTTGCGGACCATGCGCCAGCCGCGAACAGACCGCTTGTCCTTCCTAGCTTGGCGCGGTCCCTTCGAGGGGATGTATCGACCCGTTTTGCACTGGGTCCTCTCCCCTGGCTGCCGCTGCGACCACGGCCTCCCGGGGGACCGAACACGGTCAAAGGCCTACCGGCGGGGGCCGCTCCTGTGCCCACGCCGGAACAGACATTTTTCCCCCCGCTGAAAACAAATCAGCGGAGGCCTGTTCGACTGCGGGGCTTGACCCAAAATGGCCACGTTGTTCGCCCCGCTGATCAGACATTTACTATAGTACCAGAGGCACAATCTGTATATATGCGTGTGTGTGTGTGTGTGTGTGCCACCTGAGTCACCCCTCAAAGAATGTCTCTTCTGCTGCAAAACAGTGACCTCCAAATGTCGTTGAACTGCTTGTCTTTCTAAACACTTTCGCGCACATGGGCCAAAATTGCTGCAGTGCAGCAAATCCAGGCTCAAGGTATGTTCAAGCATCAATGTGATGAGGACCAATGAGGACTGTGTTGCCATTTGCACGGTGGGTTCTGCGGCAAAAGGTCTTGACAAGGTGCAAACCCCAAGTTGATAGGAACCAACTACCCCTCATGTCCTTTGCCGCTGTGACAGCCACCAATTGCATGAATAAAAGGGCTTGCCTGGAAGGTGATTGATCCTGGTGGTGAATAACACCAATGGATACTGTAGACTCTTGGTTAATCAACCACCCCTTTGAAGAGGATGTTCAATTGGCAGGGGTGTATGGTCCTCAAGTTCCTCAAGAGTCTACATCACCTGACTGATGCAGAAAAATCACCTGGAGATAGTGAGGATGCATCCGGAGGACTGACCCGCCAAATCACTGGACAGCTCCGCCCGCCCAGCACCCGAGAGGGTGTGCCACAAAAAGGTCGGCCCCCACCACAGCAAACGACCGACGAATGGATAACGCGACAAATGGATGAACATGGAGGAATCACACCTTGAGAACGGCTCTCATTAGTAAGAACGGCTCCCAAAACCTGAGTGGTTTGTTGGCACCTGGCAATACAGTATATAATTCCTCATTCAGGGCAAGAGAAAGTAAGGAAACATGGGCATCCCCGGGCGGCATCCCCCAGTTGATCAAGTAGCTTGACATCCCAGCAGCGCCAACTCAAAAGCTGATAGAACAGGTAAAACGGGTGTTTATAGTGTTGTTCCCAAATCACAGGGGGGAGATGTCAAACGTATTATCGTTGGCCAAACAGAGCCTGCACGGTAGAGGTGAAGCCTCTGCAAAGATGCACTGATTTCAGGCAAGAAGGACCAAAATGCTGCTGGAGCGATCTCATCTTCCTCTACAGCATGGGATCCACATGGGATCTAGAGGAACCATGATCCATGATCCATGAGGCCGTCCGCAGCAATCTCCCCTGTATCCGAGCATGTGATGAGACCCCCTCGCATCCGGCCCTTGCATCCCAGTGACCGTTTCTCTCCAGCTCGAGAATCAGGAGCCCAGCAAGCTCCGCGCCGCTTGAAACCAAGCACCCAAGTAAAGCTGTGCTGTAGGGGGGGACCCGTAGGAAGCACAAATACGCTCAGCCTTGGGGTGGGAATCTGTCAAACATGTACGAAAATTTGAAAAGAACTCGTGCCATGTGTGAAATCTAGTTGCATATCCCTCACATATCTTGTATGTTTGTTGTCATTTTTGATGGACAGTCGAAGTGGAAAAGCAAGAAGCTGTAAGCAACCACACCTTGCACTTGCAAAAGCCGTGCGAAGCTACTTCTGGAACAGCAGGTTAGAAAATATTACGAGGCCAAAACTGGCCGCCAGTTTTTGGTCGGTCACCTGGCTCTACTGCTTCGTCTCAAGACTACCCGTCTATGCAACAGCCAAAGATTCCAATGAGTCAATAAGTTTTTGACTCGCCTGTTGATTGAAGGGCTAGCTTGGCTTTGAGAAGTGCAAGGAGGGGTGACTATGCACTACACCGGCAGGGGGTTCAAAACCATTCTACTGTGCCTCGGAAAGTGCAAGGAAAGAAAAACAAGTCTCCAGGTTCCCAAGCTCGCGCTGAAGAGCTTCTGTTTGCGCCTGGCAAAGGCTCTCTTGGTGGGCATCGCAAAAGCGCTTGGAAAGTGTTCCCTCGGAAGCTGCTCTCTCTTGCTGGCTTAGCGAGACAACATGCGATGACATCAATTGAACCCCCAGTAAGAAGAAGAAGAAGAATGAGTCCTTCAATGTCCCAACAACGATGGCAGTACCGCGGCTCTGGGTGCGTCTGTCTCTGAAAACACACACTTCAAGAGCAATCCATGCTGTTCTGATGCCGGCAGTTGAGCCGCACGGGCTGGAAGAAAGGCAAACTAATTACATCCATAATATCCCTACCGTTATGCAAGGAAGAATGTGATTTATTGTAGGGTTACATTTGTGAAGTGCCTATTTGTTGAAAGAGCAGCGATAGCTGCAGTGATATTATCAGTGCCATAATGCTTCCTAATACAGTGCAAATGGTGGCTCTCGTTCGTACGTCCAGTGGCGTTTGCCCCTTACAAGAAAATCCTCTCCCAACCACGGGGCATCCGCGGCATGGCCACCCGGTGCCAGACACCACCTGCGAGTCCTGGAGCTGCTGACCCAGCTTTTGAAGCCTTGGAGCCAAACGAAGGACCTCGTGACCTCCATCCCAACAAAAGTTGAAGAACCTGACTGTTCGACTATCCCCTAGGTACCCCTGGTTACAGGTGCTAGTTCAGGTCACTCAACCTCTCTTGGTCATTTGGGGAAAGTGTTGTTTGGGTGGTGAGCTTTGGGACGGTGCATATATACCGTAATCCAGCATCGACCTTAATTTCACGGCAGTTTCAAGAAGTTGCCTCTGGAAATGATGGATTCCGTTCTTTTGTTCAAGCGCCGCAGGGCTCTCAAAGAGAAGTTGATGCTTTGGCAATCATCGCACTCAGCAGTTGAAAGTAAATCAGTCATAGTCCGGACAGCCATTGTTTGGAAGGCTACTTTGGGGTGATTGCAAACTGGTCCGGCTCTCAACTCTGGAAGTTGTCGTTGTGGTGACATATATAGTGAACACTTGCGCTCATTCATTCTTACAGTTCCCAGGGTGATCTTTACTTATATATATATATATATTTAAAAATAATCATCATATCTTTAAACTATTTGTCCATTACATAGCTCGCTCCTCTGACAAACATGACCCTTGTCCTCGCGCAAAAAGATTGGAATGAATTCCCTCTAGCACAATGTGAAGTGCAAAGGCGGTGTGGCAAAACACAGTGCGCTTGGCGGCAGCTTGTATGTCCAAAGGCGTCTTCCCATGTTTCTTGCCCAAACTAGTGTTTCTTTAACACTGACACACATAACGCATGTGCGCATACAACCTTGATCCCTCTGATAGTATTGGGATATTGTCCATTGTTCAATTGCGCCCGGATGACAGGATATTTATGAAACAAACATGCAAGCAAAACCGGTCAAAGTGAATCTGACGCTCCACGCTCACTAGTCAGCATATCTCCTTCTGCCTGCCCAGCCAATTGAGATGGACTTTGGTACCAAATTTCACAACAGCAGTACCCGAGGAAATCCATGTGAGACTGTGAGACTATGACTAAGGCGCACACCTACACACTGGCAGATCTGGTTGCAACATTGGGGGGAAATCAACCACCAATACTACTTTTAATTTGGGCAATTTTCGGAGTCTTTGTGGGCTCGGATTAACTAGGGCAGGTTTATTAATCCTATGTTTGCATTGTGACATGTGTTTCTTATTTGCAACCCTGCCCGCGAAAAAACTCGGTCAAAACATGTCAAAACCATGGATTTTCGCGAACACATCATCGTTGCAGAGTTTTTGGGTTCCAGAAGCGTCCCTAGTTTACCAAACCCAAATGCGGCAGCTCGTCCAAGCCCCAAAATCCCAAGCGCCTTTGCATGCTGGAGCTGTTTCTTGGCAGAAGACCACCTCAGCGTTCCAGAATCAACATGCGAGGTATCAGGTGTGTGTGTGAGAGAATCTACCGTATCAGGCATCTGGTGTGTCCATAAAGGGGCTTTGTTTTTGTCCTTGCCATCCAACAAAGTCTTTGACAAACTCCCCAGACGGAGGAACACTCCCATACTCCCAAACTCAGTGGAAGATCAGTTCTCCATGGGATGTCCGTGGGATCGTCGTCTGCGGTGGGGTGTGGGGATCGACCTGTTCTGCTCACCTATTTGATCCAAATGAGCACCACTCATCAACCAATGGAAACAGGTCTGACAAATTTTGGACAACTCAGAAGGTACACCCGCACCGGTGCTCAACCCACTCAACCCACCGTGGGCTCTCCCCGCTGCTGCGACAAGCGCTGCTGGGCGGCCTGCAGGGCGGCTTCGCGGCGCTGCTCGGCTTGGATTGGGAATGCCGAGCTTCTGTAGCTTTTCTTTGCCAAGCGGGACGTCCCTGCAAACCCCCCACGTTACTCTCTCCAAAGGACTGTTATGGCTTTGGCGCCAGGAGCGGGTGAGAATGGCCTTCGCAGGCGCCAAAAATGCATTGCTCAAATGGCGACCCCAAAATAAATAGGAGCTGTATTAAGTGTATAATTAGAAAAGTGACTGCTCTGTAAACAAATAATCATGGGAACCGTTTCTTTTTTGGGGGGCGGCTGGAATCATCTGGAACTCAACCAGCGCCTCTGCCTCATCAAGGCTCTGTTGTAGCTCTTTCAACCTCAGCGGCTCTGCCGGGCTCTGCCGAGCTGTTTCTTTTCGCTCCGGTCTTCGCTTGAAAAAGCGGCCGAAACACGTGTCTTGTGTCTTGTCAACACCTTGGTGGGAGTGTTGATGTGCTTTGGGAGCTTGATTCATACTCAAACATTTGTTAATTCAAACACGCTGGTGAGTTAATTCAAACATTTTTTTGAGCATATTTTGGGTAAACATCTTTAAAAGCATTCTTGAGCTGGGACATGCAATGCCTGAAAGCCCAAATTTCAATGCTCGTTTCAGTGAAGCATGTGAAACACAGCTCAGCTGCACAGACTCTCCACGTGCTCTAACTCTCATTATCATTATGGATCTTTCTGCTGGCATCAAAATCTGCCGCATCAATCGCCTACATCTTCAAATGGAAAACACTCACAGGTTTCACCCTCAAAACCCCATGGTGTTGAGCCCTGGCCGTGGCGATTGACGCGAATATGTTCGAAATATGGCTGATTCCGTGGATTGGTCTTGGACGCGGGACCCGGCCTCCGGCCGAACCTGACTGGGCGTCCGGACTGGACAGATTCCGACTTCGCCAGTGCCTCCTGAGGAGTGCGCGAACGGTTGCGCAACCATGACCCGAAAAGCAATGCTGTTGATGGCCAACGTGAGTGACACAGTTTCGAAACCATGACGAAGTGAGTAAGACACATGACAACTGCCTTCATCCCGCTTGCGAAAGCAACATCCGCCCTGGAGAAACCAGACTAAAAGACTCCCTGGTGCCCTTGGCAGTCAGCGACTAATTGGCGTTTATTGCGGGGCCTTGTGACCGAAATTGAACTACAAGGCCAAGCTCCACCGCATATGTGACAAGTCCGTTTCCGAATGGTTCATCTGAATCATCTAGCAGCAGTGTTTCACCAACCTCGTTAGATTTGGAACTTAAAATACATGGCCCCCTAGTTTTGTGCCAAACTATTGCGATCCGTTTGGCCCATCTGATCTCCAGCTTCGTCTTCTTCCTTGTCGCACCGGCTTTCTCACCCTTGCACTGCCCACGTTTTCGCCACCCAACGATGCCCACCGGGCCATCCCTTTTGCGCTCCTCCAGTTGAAGCACCAGCTCCTCCTTCTGCGCCGTGCGTCGCGCACACCTCGGCCGCTGCTTGGGCTGCGGCCGTGGAGGACCATGAGGGCCACCCAACATGGCTCCCTGACTCCCCTGACACATGTTCCCGCTGATCTGAGCTTCTGCCATTTCTCCACCGAACGAGCCGCCGAACTCTGCTTCCAACTGCTGTCGCTCTGCCTGGAGCTGCACCTCGGCCGAGAGCGAAGCGAGGACAGGGGACGGGTGCAGCAAAGCGCGGACAAATTGGATTCAACTCACCATGTACATTGCACGATTCCTCTGGGCGGGTGGATTCATCGCCTGATCCTTCACTCCTAGATCATTGAAAGTATTCTAAACGACGTCCTAAACATTCACATCAGGTGCGTCAGTGGATCGGCATGGTGAGGCTCGGTCGCTTGGCCGCGTTGACCGGCCGCCTCCAGGCAGGGCGGCCCCGTGATCCCCTAGCCCTCGAAGAATCCGTGCTGTTGCCAGTGGTTTTCAGAGTAGATGTGGCACAAACCCTTACTGCACACATGTCTTTTCAGATGGGGGTTCATAAAGACCACCTTTTGGGGGATTGCGCCATCTACTCTGAAACCACTGTACCCTCCTCACTCGGCACAATTGCCGGGCACGATAAGAGCTGAGGAGTGCACGAGCTGGGCCTGGAGAGGGCAAGCGGTTGATTGGAGTTGGTTCTGGCCCTCGTGTCCATGAAACTGGGGAGGCTCAGCTGACCCAACACGGGCTTCGACACGAAGCTGGCAGCCGCAAAACGGGAGAGATGGTTCTGAGCCTCTCGAATGATTCTTGATTTGTAAAACGTCAGAACCCTCCCAGGCATGGATGATAAGACCTCTTCAGGCTGGTCTGGGCCGTGAACTATCATCAAGAGTCTACATTCGCTCCATGCACTCTGAACTGATATGATATTATATGTTCATATATGTTCAACTGGTAAGTCCAGTCATAAAGATCGCTCAGGGGGTTCGTGACTGTCTCCTTTGGCATTTGGATTCCCCTTCGTCTGGGTGCACCATCGGTTTCTTTGTGGTCTAAAAATGCAATCTCTCTTCAGAAAGGTCAGCGTTTTGGAAGCACGTGGATGGCCCGAAGCCCCTCCCTTCGTATATGTGTTCCAGAATGGAAGGCAACCAAAAACACGAAGACCAAGGACGTTGCCAAAGCCTCCCACATCAAAGTTCAATGACTCCAGCCTTTTTTCTCTTCACTCCAACCTGCGGCGCTTCAATGACTGAGATCCGCTGCTTGTATCAGGTGGATTGATGTGGGATCTTCTCTCAAGCAACGCTTGCACGACGTGCCAGTGGCCGCGGACGGCTGCTAAGTGCAAAGGGGTTAAGCCATCCGAAGATGTTGCTTCCTGGTTGGTTCCGGCGACTATTAACAAACACGCCACTTCGACATGCCCCATGTCACATGCTGAGTGCAAAGCTGTATAACCATCTGCATCTGTTGCATCCTTGTCGGCTCCAGCCTGAACCAACAATTGCACGACTTCCAACTGGCCGCTGAGGGCTGCCAAATGCATAGGGGCTGCGCCGTCTGTATCGGCTGCATTCTTGTTGGCTCCAGCCTCAAGCAGCACTTGTACAACTTTCGCATGGTTTTTGTAGGCGGCCAAATGTAAAGGTGCTGAGCCATCTGTGCGTGTTGCTTCCTTGTTGGCTCCAGCCTCAAGCAACAATTGCACGACTTCCAGATGGCCATTGTCACACGCATTGTGCAGAGATGAATCACCATTTACATCGATTGCATCCTTGTCAGCTCCAGCATCAAGAAGCACTTGCACTATTTGCAAGTGGCCACTAGAAGTCGCCCAATGCAAAGGGGTTGTGCCATCTGAACATGCTGCATCTTTGTTGGCTCCAGCCTCAAGCAACAATTGCGCGACTTCCAAATGGCCATTGTCAACCGCAATGTGCAATGATGTCTCACCAGCTAAATTTGTTGCACCCTTGTTGGCTACAGCCTCAAGCAGCACTTGCACTACTTCTGAGCAGCCCTTGTCACATGCAAAGTGCAAAGCTGCATCACCATTTAGATCGATTGCATCCTTGTTAGCTCCAGCCTCAAGCAGCAAACGCACTACTTCCAAGCGGCCACCGCAAATCGCCCAATGCAAAGGAGTTGTGCCATCTGAACATGTTGCCTCCGTGTTGGCTCCAGCCTCGATCAAGAAACATGTCACTTCCATGAAGCCTTGATCACATGCCAAGTGCAGAGGTGCATTGCCATCTGCACATGTTGCATCCTTGTTGGCTCCAGCCTCAACCAACAATTGAGCAATTTCCAAGTGGCCACTGTCGCATGCTTGGTGCAAAGGTGTATCACCATATACATCTCTCGCAGCCTTGTCAGCTCCGGCCTCAATCAACAACTTCGTAGCTTCCAAGTGACCGTTGCAAGCTGCCAAATGTAAAGGGGTTCTGCCATCTGCACCTGTGACATCCATATTGGCCGCAGCTTCAATCAACAATTGCACCACTTTCAAGTGGCCCCTAGTGCACGCAAAGTGCAAAGCCGTATTGCCATCTTCACATGTTGCATTCGCGTTGGCACCAGCTTCAAGCAACATGTGCACCACTTGCGAGTGGCCAAACAAACCAGCGATTTGAATTGCAAATTGGCCCTCTGTATTGCGGACGTTGGGGTCCTGTGGCTTTTGAAGCAAGCTCTCAACTTTACCCTGCTGACCAGTGGAACATGCACGCAGAAGGCTCAAGTCGCCTAAGTGGCATGGATAATAGTTTAAAAAGACCAACTGCAACTCAGGCCATGTCAGCAAAGCCTCGTCATCCTGCAACTCACCCTTCTCACTCAAAAGCCTTTGTCGAAACCTCGAGTATCCCAGCTGAGCTGAAAGGCGCCTCTTCAAGGCTAGGACCGTTTCGCCCTTCTCCACCATCTCCTGCAGTTCATCGTCATCAAGCTCTGCAATGGTGCTGCCCGAGATGGCACAAAGGCGCATGGCTTCCACGTGGAGTGCAAACAAGAAGGCACAACTGCAACGACGATTGGTCAATAGGGAACATCGGTCAACATGCACAGGGTGAACATCTTGATATATTATATCATTACCTTTGATTTAGCCGGAGCAACAATGTAGAACCAAGTGAATCGATTCGAACGGTAAAAGTGGCATCAAAGCCACTAGACAGCCTAGGCGTCAAGAACTTCGACCACTCTGGCTGGAGTCAGGCTGCACGCCAAGGTAGAACAAATAGTTGTAAATTAATGATGCCACATATTCTTCTATAGAAGTACAGTATATAGATCCCCCGATTGGTGGAAACAATCTCCAAAACAGTTCTTGGATTGCATTTTCTAAATATTTGTTTGGGGGTCATAGTCAATGACTGGCCAGAGACTCTGTGAAACAACGGCTGTGGCAAGTAGAACATCAACCCAGCTTCTGCCGGTCATGAGGATCACAGAAATCTTCATCTGAACTTTGGCTCCAGCCAAGAGCGAGGATAGTCTTGGGCTCCAACTTCCACAAACTCTGAGCCAAAGCATGCTATCGGAACATTGGGCGAGCCACCCCAACCCCAATCCCGAAAAAGAGAAAGAGAAACAATAAAACAACTACAGTATACAAGATAATTACTGCAAAGTGGTCCTCTGGTGAGCCGCGCCCGTATTAAGACTTGGCAAAGGACTTCCCACGCACTTCCTCGCAGCAAACCCCCCCCACCTGCAAGTCCTCAGGCACGGCACTCGGCGCCGCGACCACTTCCTGCCTTGGAACGTCGGGACCCTGGGCCCTTCCCCCTCTGGCGGCAGAGGTGGTGAATCTGCCGCCGAGGCGCGGGAACCTCGTACGAGACCAGCTGCTGGTGGTTTCACACGCTACTCAATCCCAGAGAAGGCATGATCAAGGGCAAAATCCACATTAAATCAAGCGTCATGATCTCTGCTCAAAGAAGGGGATGTCTAGCTGGAAGATTCAATGTAGCACCCTGCCTTCGATCGAAACTTGGACATGCACTCACGCACTCACTCACGCACGCACTCTCTCTCTCTCTCTTTCTGCTACAGTCATTGCCAAAGTCGCTGCAAGTGGTTTTCAGGAGTGGTTGTTGTGTCCAGTTGTCGCATGAAGTACTAAATACGTTTTGAGATGTGCCGGGTTAATCCCTCAGCAGATTTCGGCTGGTTCTCAGCAACTCCCCTCATGGGCGCCACGGATTCTGTGCAAACGACCCACGCGACGCACAGGTCCCGTTCGCGACCAAGTGGCCGGAGAGGCCGCTCCTGGTGATCAGGGAGGGGCGTTTCCATCAGAGAGGAGTGGACATGAGGTCGCACGAACGGGGGGGGCAGACACACCCGGACGTAGCTGAGGATCACCTTTAGATCCATCGGTTCACCTGAGGATCCATCGATCCCATAAAGCAAGCTGCGGTCAAGAACTCTTACAGTCTTACTTGGAACGAGCAAACGGCAAGTGCAAAAGAATGAGAGCCTCAGTCTCAAAGGCGTTCACTTATGATCTTCTTGATCATAGTACCTGATGTCCTAACTTACAGCCTTGGCCCGCATACATTGCAACCCAAAGTGTGCATATGATATAATATGTATACAATATGTTTTGAATGTTTTGAATAAATATACATAATATAGTTATATATAGATACATACTATATTGTAATATATATAGAGAGAGAGCTAGATAAAAATGTGCACATGACGCTCATTTCTAGTGTTTTGGGACATCTGCTGAAAGTCATATTCAAGTGGATGGGAACAAACGATGGCCACTGATTCATCGCTAAAAGACTCTGGCAGGAAACGCGAAGGCCACGGTCACTGGCCCACGGGTCGACGTGTATCCAGCAGCACTGCATCACCTATTTCATGAAATGCCCCACTGGTGACTTCCAAACTTTTGCGGTCACCAAGATCATGTTGGCGGGAATGTTCTCCCCCATTCCAGGAGAAAAGGGAGGAGCCTCATCTAAAATCGATATGATTTTTGGATGGTGCCTGAACAAATCTCCCAGCCAAACTCATCCTTAGACACTCATAGCTCCAATCCCGCAACCCCCTGAAAAACCCAGTCACTTTCCATCACTTTCCTATCATATCCTATCATCAAACCGTAGTACAAATCTCAGACCCAAGCACCCTCCATCTCTCCATCACTTCAACCCTCCATCTCTCCGGCTCCACCTCCGTCCGAATGCCCAACTTTCTCGTTCCGCCTCCAGCTGTCGCCGAAGCAGGGCGAGCTCTTCCTCCAAGACATGCCTGGCTGTTCTTCCCGCGCCACGGTGCACCGGGGCGTTCCCCCGGGCGGTGTTCCGTCGTCCCAGCGACCCACTGCACTCTGTTTGCAATGTAAGGGGAAAACCCAGCTGCTTGTCACTGCTTGTGGATTTCATGATCATCTGGATGCTCACTTCGTGCCAGGAAGTGCAACCAAACCCTGAAAACAAGCTTCCGATTGCGAGACAGGTTTTGCACTGATTATGTTAGGGAATATAGGTGTATAATAATATATGCATGACCTTCAAACCTAAAACCACCCCAATGTAAACAAGTTTCCATGACAGTGCTTGGGATAGAAAATCACTAGAAAAGGATATTTTTGCATCGTCCCACGTGCTACAGTCCGTCTGTCCTGTAGCACATGCGAACATGTGTGAACCAAAACGAAAAAAGCCGAAGCGCCGGCACGTAAAAACCAACCTCACCCGCAAAGAGATTGCCCTCTTTTCAGCAACAGCATCTGTAGGGAATCTGTCAGGTCAAGGAGTGGGTGGCCCTGGCGGCTCCTGCGGTCCATCGACGGCGGCGGTGCTCCGAACGATCGTCTTAGACACCATCTCATGGGTTGGGCATACCCATGCATATCCCATTCTGATTGACTTTTAGGAAATCGCACACACAGAGATATATGATATGTGTGTGTGTTTATCTATTTATATATAGTTGCGTTATTAATCAATATTATACATATCTAAGCGGTATGCATTAATGACGATGTTGCGGGGAATCAAAGCTCCCAAAACGGGCGTTTGTGGTGTTCATTTTCGCGTTCGCGATCCGGTCACGGGGGAACCCACCGGGGCTCAACCGACCGGAGCACAACCAACGAACCAAACACGTCGGAGAACAATGGGACCACGAGACATGCATTCTTCTAACGCTTCAAGCAGCCCTACGGTACTAGCCGGTCTACATGCAACTTAAAGACATGATTGATCAAACATGGAATTAAAACCAACGGATCATACGATGCAGCTGTGTGGGTGTCTTCGTCTTCCCATGTGTTCCCCCTCCACCAGTGTTGCAGGCATTGTTTCTTAATCTGCCTTCCTGAAGGAGACTTCCATCCTTGCGTTGCTGCTGTTGCTTTCAAAATTGGCGCCAATGCTGATTCAACTGACAGACGGTCCAACAGTTCAGCAACAGCCTTGTGTCAAACAAACTTTGCACAAGGTGGCAAGCTACCCCCAGCATAATCAATGAACTTTCAGTATGGCGGTGCGCATCCCATGAACGGCCCTCGGAAAGGCAAAGGAGATGATGGAATGAAACCCCTTAAGGCCCTTAAGTCGGTGGACAGCTGGACACCAACTACAGTGACTACAGCTGAGTCAACGGTGTCTAGCACGAGAGACTCCAGAGCCAACACCATGTCTGCTTGTCCTTCTTTGGCAAACACCAGGGTATATAGTATATAAGCTGACTTCAAGAGCTGCACCAAATGCAACATCAAAGAACTGCTAACCTGTGGAGGTTTAGCATGTCTCCTCTATCCGACCTGCAGTTCTTCCTTCGCTCCGCCAGGTGGCACACCACGCCTCCTCTTTTTGTGCCGTCTCCGTGGGCGGTGGGGGTGGCATGCTCTTGCGGCCATGCCAGAGGTTGCGCCTGGTGATGCAGCAACCAAAAAAACAGAGAGAGAGAGAGAGAGGAAGAAAACAGATTGATGGATTCTTCCACAGGACAAGACTGCACCAATCTGTACACTCCCAGCAGTAATTACATGAAATGTCCTGGCAATATAGTAGGGACAGTATTTCTGCAGGTTTACCTGTGAAAACAAGAGTGCACCAACCCCATCCAAACCCCAATACATTTGCGCTCCCAGCTCTGGCAGGTCCACCGTTGCCCAACCTCCTGCGATGCCCCCGGCGTCTTTCGGAGCATCGCAGCTTTCGGACATGTAATGTAGACTCTTGATTCATGTTCTTGGTTTCCTTCCACGGCAAATGTGAATCAATGGAAGTCTGTTGTCCACTTCGATGCACTTTTGTTCCGTGCCTCTTCTCCATGATCCGCTTCTTCTTCTCAGCCTCGTCATGTGCATGTGACGCTTCCATTCAAGGAAGGCCACAAATCATTGCACAGCCAATACTCGAGCTCAGTGTCACATGTCCGGTGCAGGATTGATTGATGTATAGCCTGGATTTCCCAAAGCCTGGATGTAAAGCCTGGATTTGTACATAGTCTGGATTTCCCAAAGTGCCCGGCCCTGACTGAAACTGTGGAATCCTCCATAAAGTGGGCTTAGAGATATAAGTCCTTTATCTTTCACATATACGATTCACGTATTTCCCTTAACCCGCAATATGAACACTACCTTTTAGGTCGCAACATGACGGCATCGCTGGCCCGCCTCCTGCGCAGAAGGGTGGCCTGTTCGTGAACCGTTTCGGGAAGCGACCGCCCTGTGAAGCGACCGAAGGAACTTGCAAATGTTGCTTTATATAGCTATAATATTGCTATAATAATGCACAACTATATAGTACAAAATTATATACAGTATACTAGTGTGTGTAGTGTGTATCAATATCTTGTTTAATCTAGTATAATCAAAAATAGAACGTGTAAACAGTGTAAACATTTAACATGTGTCGTGTATATATATATATAATTTATATTTATATATGTATTTATAACTATACACTATATGAATGTACCCTACAAGGCTCCAACACTGGCTCCAACTACCTCCGTTTCGAAGGTGGTTGGGGTAGGTTTGAGGATGTGTTTGGAGCCCAACCAATAGTAGATCTGCCATCCCTACCCATTAGCAGGGGCGGGGGGAGACCTCAAAAATGCAACCTACAATTGCCAGGGGTGAGGAGTAAGTTACATTTTATCGGGGGGGGCAGGAGGTGGTCTGAAAATGTCAGTTGCATTTTTCAGACACCCCTTGCAAATCCATGTTAAAGGGGTGGATATGATCTGCCTAGACGTGCGCACACTTCAGGTTTGCCTCCGACAATCCCCCCAACTCCTTCGTACTTTCCGCGCACGTGTCCCGCGCACCAAACTCGGTGCCACTCTGCGCCTCGTGGTGCCTGGCGTCCGGTGAGCGTCGCATCCATAGGAAGGTCCGGTGAGGGGAAGGTCCGTGAGCGTCGTCTGCGGTTCCCAGGCATCATGGGTTGACCCCTAGCATCTCTGATCCATCAACATCCATGAAAACAGCGGGCAAAGCCTAGTGGGCCTAGTGCACGTGGAGTGGAAGGCCCAGATCCCTAGGGCCCTCGGTCAGCAGGGTCGAAGGTCCCATCGACTTGATTCATTGGAGTCCTCAGGTTCAAAGCCTCGCGAGCTCAGCACATCTTGCATCTCCGAGGAAAGAACACGATCAACTAGCAAGACTCCGGCTAAAGAAACAAAGACCTTGCATCCATCGCTCAGGGTCACACTGCCTAACCTCCTGAAAAAGATTACGTGTGAAGAATCCCACCACGTCCAACCACTCAGTAATGGATAGGAGTGGTCATCACCACTCAGTAAGGGGGATGTGGTCCGTCCTCAATACCTCCAATCTTAGACCTTGTTGACCCATGTTGACCCTGTTGACGTTGAAAGGGGGGGCCGTTGATTCATCCTACGTGGCCCATTAAAAAGATCCATGGTGCTCTTTCCTTGCTTCCGTGCCCGACGCCTTGGATGCTTGGGCCGTGGTCAGGATCCTTGGAAGAGTGCCGAGGTCGGTCGTCCCGGTGGACACTCAAGGAAGGAAGACCTACCTGGTGACCTCACCTGGTGACCTACGGTGACCTCACACCGCTTTCCATAAGAAAACATGATCTTCCCAACACGTCGTCCGCATAAAGGTCCGGTGCTTGGTTTTCGCCCAAGGTCGATCATTCTTCCAGGGGTCGATTGTTAGCACTACACCCCTGCTGTTCTGCTAGGAATACAAATGGGTGTCCTCCTCCTGCTGTTCTGGATGTGTATCTCCAAATCTTGTTGAGGATGGTTCCTTAAACCCCCAACTACTAGGTACACGGCGGATAGACGGCCGTGGGGTGATGAAGGATGGTTGTGGGGTAATCCATCTTAAATATGCGTAATTCCATTAGGAAGGATGTGAGCGACACTTCATCATTGGAACCGTTGTGAATTCCATGCAGATGTCGATAAAATCAGAGTTTCGTTGAGGCAAAATGGCGATTTCGCAGCATTTTCGAAACTACGCAACTACTTTTGCCGTCGTACATGTGTGCGACTTTTTCACTCTTCACAGGAGCTGCTCCAAGCGGTTGGGGTCATATACACTCATGAAATTAGTGAATATTAGTCATATATTTATCAACATATTGAATATGCAATAATATATGTATCAAATTGTCATGAAGTGCTTGAAAACATACAGGCCACCGATCTTGCTGCAGAGCTATTTGCAACACTTCAGGAAGCACCGGATCAGCGGTGGAACTTTCACTCCAGGTTTTCAACAAACTATCAAGATACCACGGGTCTACCTCAAACCACGCTTGTAAGGATTCGGGGAGCTGATCCACCCCTGTCCAACCCCCTAACCTCAACTCAACAACAAAAGAAAAGCCAAACCTAAACCGGAAACAAAGGAAAATTCCGCCATATGAGCAACAAAACTGCATCCGGATGAACGACCAAACACATACCAGACGGGTTAGATATGAATAAATCCAGACGGGTTTTAAACTCGCAGGTGTGCAAGTAAACATGTATGCGCAACACAGCACGAGTACTAGTATTGCGTAGCGTCGAAGACAGAAAGTGGAACCAGGGGTACTTCGTCCGAATGTAACCCGCAAGAAAATAGACTGAAATAGTATATAGATAACATGCTACGCCACAGGTGTGCTAATTAGCCCCACCCCCCCCTAACCCCCCCCCACCCCAAAATTCCCACACGTAGTACTGTAGAAAACAAAATGTCAAAACAATGTAAGAAATGCCCACGGCCGTCTATCCGCCGTGGGCCAACTACTACACACCTGAGATCTTGTTGAGGATGGTTCCTTAAACCCCCAACTACTACACACCTGAGACTGACTGAACAGAATCCACAGGCAGTGGCTCCTTTGAGCCATGGAAACCCACCTTGAGGAACCTTGAGGAACCTTGGGTAGGCTCTTTGGCCTGCGCGGTCTTCGGTGTTCATCAGTCACCTCTTTGACCTCGGTTCTGCAAGGGAACGCATGCAGGAAGGGGTTCTGCAAGGGAACGCGACTCTGACAGACCTGGCGTCAACGGCGGCGGATGTTGTTCCTGAGGTTCCAGCTTTGATTCCGGCACTGACTTCTTGATGTTGAGGTCATAGAAGCGTTTCTGGGCAGTCTCCGCAACCAAAGACATGCTGGGGAGGATCTGGAGGGGGGGGGCGTTCTGCAGAAGGTGGGTGGCTGGCGGCACGGTTTTCCGACTCCTTGGTCAAGAAGAAAGAGATAGCATCGAACCATGACCAAGGAGTCCAAGGCATCTAGGTTCTAGGTACTGTATCTTTGTGGAAGCTCTGACCAAGGAGTCATCGAAATCTGGATGAACCAAATTTGGAAGGAGACACCCTCGTCACCTGGCTACAGCATGCCACCCACGGTCCAAGAATGCGCATGGTTGGAGACAGCAGACAGCCCTTGAGTTGGCCATCTTCTTGAACACAGAAAGTCCTGAAACTCCACAAATCCGAAACAGCAAACTCCTGCGTTTTCGGGTTGAAGTTAGCAACTCCTACACAGCTGCTCCATGCTGCTCCAGAACCCCGAAACTCCATGAAACTCCCATCATCTTCCGATGATTTCAGGGAGGAATCGGTGTTGACGAGAAGGAACCGGCCCAAAAAGCCATGGCTCAACAAGTCGTGCACCCGGCCATACCCGGCCCAAACCACTGAGAGAACGAACCAAAACCAAGTCAGCCCCCCGCTCTTCCCACCGGCCCCACCATCCGTCACCCATCCTTCAGCCCAAGCCGCGCCGGAGGGGGTCCGAAGCAGTCGGGTGACTTCTGCTGGCAGGTACTGGTTCAGCTGGCCGCTGAGATAGAAGACCTGCAATGAGGTACTCGTCACCCGAACCATCCCGAACACACCCATGGACTGCCATGGAAGTCTTCCCACGCGGTATGGATACAAACCTCAAACCTCAACCAAAAGCTGATGTAACTGCTGCAAGCATCCTAACGCGCAGGTTCAGACTTCCCAGGTGTCTTCTTTCTGCCATGAAGGTGTGAGTGAGGTACAGTTTAAAGACCCATTGGATCCCATTGGGCAATTGGCATGGCATGACTTCTGCGGGTGCAGCCAAGCTTTGTGCGGGGATGCTTGGGGTGTGTTTATCACTGGGGGGAAGGGGTTTCAAGGGATGAGTCCAGAATCATGTGAGAGACTTTGAGGACTTCACGCTCACTCACCCGAAACCCACCACAAACGGAATACCTCCATGATCCTCCATGCAGTGACGACGCAGACCGCGCGGGTCACCCCGCGCACCGAACCCAAAACCGGTTCCACAGCGGTACCATCTGGGGGAGGGCGGCGACCCCCTGCGCTTCGGTCCGTCGAAGCGGCGCCTGCTGGCCCACTTGGAACTTCGCGGTGCTCGTCCTGGGCGTCTGATCTTTGGCCGCCTGGAGAGGTCCGGGTCGGCCGCGACGGAGACGGAGCGCGTGAGAACTGCCAGGTCTGGCAGCCGTCGACTGGTATGAGAGGTCTCGACCTTGAGCGAGGGCGAAGGGTCCCGGAAATCGAGGACCAGGGTCCCTTGAACGACGCCATGTTCCTTTTACAAAGGTTGCCCCGCGCCTCGTCATCCCGGAATCCCACCCAGTTTCGGGCGAAAAGACCCGAATCAACAGCTGGCCGGCTGTTGATTCAGGTCCATCCCCCAAATCTCTATAATATATCATTACGTAATATAAATATGATATCAACCAAATCACCAACAACAAACTTTGTCATTTCATTCACTTCCCTCGACTCCTCGAAAGTCTTCTCTCCCCACCTGTGTCTGTGCACCGTTGGGCGCTTCCGGCGCCACCTGCGCCTGCACCTCGTGCGCCTGGGCCACCGCAGCCGCCTCGCCCTTGGCTTCCGCGGCCGCCTTCGCCGCGCCGCTCTTCACCGTCGCCGCAGCCTCGCCCAGTCAATTTTTTGGGTCTTGGAAGTCTGGGCGCTCACGGACCCCTGGACCGGACGACTCGCCTTGGCGAAGCGCTTCTGGGGTCGGATCTTCTCGGGCGCTGCGCGCGGTTTGCCCGACAGGTCGTACGAGAGCAACTGGCCTGGCGCATCACGCATGGGAAGAACGTGGTTTTGTCCAGAGAGGTGGAGCTCAGAGCTGGGATGCAAAGTAAATTGCACGTGAGTAATTGAAATGTGGTATCATACTACATGCATGTATGTGGCAGCAGTTTGTGCGGGTTCACTTGTTGGTTTCTTTGGATCAAACCCTTGGGGGGTTGCTCTCAGGTTGCAGGATGGTTGTCTTATTTTCTTGGTCATCACAAGGTGAACAACATGAATCAAAACCATTCCAAAACCCGCAGCTGCGGCCCGGCGCAAGATACGTTCCACACCATGCTGCCACCAGCCGTGCCACTTGCAAAAAAAAACCAAACGGTCAACGTCTCTTCTCCCGGCGATGACGATCGAAAGCCACGGAGAGAAACCGACCGATGGCCAGCCGAGGGATGGCCAAGAACGATCCAATTCCAGTCATGTATATAGACCGTTGATGACTATGAAACAACCTATAGACCAGTCATGTCTATGTACAATAGGATATATTATAGACCGTTGATGAATTTACTTTAAAAAAGGAGGAGGCTGTTATAGGCTGTTCACTCCAACAGGAGGAGGGCGGTATTATGTATATATTTTTATTTATGTCTATATCCAACCAACTGGCGACCTTCGGATGAAAGAACCCAACGAGCAAATCCAGACTCACCTCCTCGGGAGTTCACCGAGCTTGCCGGAAGTCTCGCCTTGGGAGTTCACATTCACCGCCTTGATTTTGGTGTCGAACCACTGCCTTGGCAAGCGGTAGGCTCCCACGAAAAAGAACTCAAAGTGCAAATTTCTGTACATATAGTCGTGTACATATAGTATAATAATACTATTATGTAAAATATATGTATGCGCATGTGAACCGAGAACCGAAGGAAGCCATCCAACCAGAGCCTTCAAAGGAGTTCAGCCAACCAACCGGGTTTGGCTCAAGGTGGGGCACGGCGGACCGCTTTGGACTGGGTGGGGGGGCCATCCAGGTATTTTACATAGGGTTTGGGACTCCTAGGTCTTCCTTTTGCGTGAGGAAGCTACATGTGCATATATACAATTTCTACGATTATGTTACTATTACAGTATTACTTAAAAAATATTTAATTATAACTATAGTATCTTATAATGTTGTCCTCTTGCTTGAGGCTGATTGCTCCTGCTGATTGGCCCAAGAGAAGGCGGAACTGTTCCATGCAGCTGAACATCAAGCGAAACTGTACCCTTAAAGATCCTTAAACAAAAGATTCCGCAAAGCTCAAGACTTCGGCAGGCTGATGTGTCGTTTACTGAATCTAGCCGTTGGTCGTTCACATGACCGTGATAAGCCAAGGCCACGCCCGTGTTGCAACCAAGAGACTTCATGTTCGTGCTCCTGGGGCCGCCAGTTTGAGATGCTGAGGTCAGAACTGGCGAGACCATCCGACCATCCCTTTCCAATTGTTGGCTTTTCTCTACTGAGCTATCCTGCTACACCCTGAAAAAAGAGGATCCATTCTCTGATGCCTTCAATGTCTTATCATGTCTAATCTTACGTGACGATCGACGCCCCCCATCTCTTCCAAAAGCAATCATCGATCCCCCCAAAAATCAACAGTACTTAAGATTACTTAAGGCCATCTTAGGCCCAAATTAAGACTTGACTTCTTCATCAGCCAGACCCTACTGGCTCCGCTCTCCGCTCTCCTCTCTGGCTCCGGCCCCTATGTAGGGCGCCTATATATTGCTCATTTTGCTCGACCAGGTGAGCTTCAGCCGAGTCTCCAGTACCTTACCTTCTGCCCCACGTGATAGAGCTGCACCGCGGCCGCTGCCGCCTCGACCCAGGTGCCCCAGTCCCACCATGGGCGGGACGTGCTACTGTCTGTTGTCTGGTTGCACGGGTCTTTGGGGTGGAACCTGTAAAGGAGAATAGGCCCCTCCTCAGAAACCTATAGGGACACTCCACCGGGTCACGAAACCCGTGAACAGCTGAAAAAGAGCCCGAACAGGGCCCGCCTGAACACGGAGGCATGTGGATTCCACTCCATGCGTTTTTGTTCATCCATTCTACATGGTATATATATATATATACATATATATATATATACCCCGCAGTGCAGCCAATGTTGTTGATGTTGTTTGATCTGAGTCTCTGTGCGGGGACCAAAAACGGGAGGAAAAAGGGAGGAAAAGCACGTGTCTTTGAAAGACAGGTCTTTGGCAATCATCTCTTCTCTTGAAAACCAATGAACCCTGTAGACATTCACCATGCCCGGTGCCATGTCCTCCACCAGGACGAGGAGGCGCGGGGCATGTCACCGGACGGCCGCCCTTTTTGGCTTCGCGGCTCCTCCGGACGTCTCTTCAACTCCGGCTCAGCAGGGTAGGCGACATCTGAGCCATGTTCCGCCACGTTCCGGCCCACGGGCAGCATGCAAGAGCTTGGCAAGGCCAACCACTGGTTCTGATATGTCATTCATTCTCATCGTCTGTGGGACCTGCAGGAATCTGCAGGACCCTGGACTTGTCAGAGTTTGGCCATTTTCATGGCCCAAACGGCAGCCTCGCCACCAAACACCAGCAAACTCAGCATCTCCTTCTTTCCACGGCCGTCGCTTCCATCGCTTCTCCCTCGCCAGCTTGGCATCCACTCCTTCCCTGCGATCTCCAGCCCGCCATCTCGGCGCGCGCCGCCGGTCGATGACGCGATGACCAGCGGATCCACCTCACAGCGGATCCACCTCCACGATCCACGGCACCGCCGCGGAGGGTGACAGCAGCTGCGAGAGCGACCCATGTGCCCAGTCTGCGGCCCGATGACCGGAGTGGTCCTCCAAGACATTGGCCAAGAGATGTGGCCGAAACATGCTGGAGGTGACATGAAGTATGACAAACTTTATACGGTTTATAGAACATGTATGATAATATATGAAAATGTATTTAGCCTCTTGGGAATTTTTGAGGGATTAGTCTGCAAGTGCCCAGATGTCCTCATGCTGCCTGATCCTTCAAACCTTAATCCTCACTGATATTGCAAAACACATCGATCACACGTCACCAATACCCTGAAACAACGAACACCTTCCACAAACCTGCATCTCTCCAACTCCAACTCAAAACACCTTCCCTCCCCCAATCCATTCTTCCATATTCTTCCCATTCCCAGCACGGATAGGTGTGTTTTGTTCACCTCTCCTGCACCTCTGGATCGGCCCCGAAGGCCAACAACACATAGACCACCTCCGGGTCGTCGCCCCGCGCCGCCCAGTGCAGCGCCGTCTGATGGGCTCCATCCACGTGGTGGACGGAGGCACCGGAGGCCAACAGGTTCTCCACGGATTCCTTCGGGGTGACCAGAAAGAATTATGTTCCACGGGATTCGCTATGGATGATCCATAGGCGATCGGCGATGGCTGTTCTTTTTCAGTGATGCGTTAAAGGATGGGAAAGGTCAGCGAGTCGTGTCCTGGCATTGCCTTTTAACATGGGTTTTCTGGCGGGGATACCCCCATGTTCGTGTCCAAGCAATAGGTCGATAGGTAACCTGGTACCAAACTGGCCCCTCTATGATTCCCAAAAGCACTTCATTGTTGGCCAGAAGGAAGTGCTACTTTTTGGTGTTTTGGTGGGATGGGAGGGTCAGCTGGCAGCTGGGTGGTTGGATGTGGTTGGATCTTTTCCGACCTAAGAGGGAGTGGTTTTTCGACAAAGCAAAGGCTTCAAATAGACAGCCAAATCATACCACTTCGGACATGGTCCTAACGACGGAATTCTTCATTCTTCAGGCCCACCTGGACCATCCCACCATTCTCACCGACCGCCCCAACCCCGACCAAACCCGACCAAACCCGCACGACCCGAGGCTCGGTCTGACCGGCCCAGCAGGCCCACATCAGGGGCGTCAGGCCATCCACGTCCAGCGCATCGACCTGAAAACCTGCCAGCAGCAGCCAGCGCAGCGCCGCGGGACTCGCCGCCGCGGCCCAGTGCAGCGGGCTCGCGGCGCAAGGGACGCCCCGGACGAAGGCTTCGAAGGCACCGGCCTAACGTGGGAACTGGCGTGGGCAAGTGGACCGAAAGACATGGGTGTTTAGGCAGGTGGAGGGTACCACATGGTACACATGGTACATCCATGGTACCAGTCAGATCCCCACAATCATAGGACAAATGTAGCTGGTTCCATCATGTAAGAATGCTAATGGCTAAGACGGCTAAGATCCTTTTCCATCCTTTTCCAAGCACTTCGGTGTCGGCAAACTGTTGAGTTGGGGGAAGTGCCTCCCTCGCCACTTCCCGAGTTTGGGCCCCGGGTTTCAGAGGCCCAGGGCCATGTTTCGGCTTTCTCACAGCAAAAGTTCTATATCCAGTATACGCAGTATACACAATTCATAAAGGAACATCATCCAGTATACACAGTTCTATATCCTAGGGATCCTCATGGATCATCTGCCGGATCCTCATGGATCATCAGGGATCCTCATGGATCATCTGCCTCCTTCACTTCTGATTCTGAGAACCCTCCCCCACACCTTCAGCAAGGCCATCACCACTTCGCTGTGCCCCTGCTGCGCTGCCCAATGCAACGGTGTCACACCCTCCAGGTCGGCGACATTCACCTCCGCCCGCTGCGCCAGCAAGGCGTCCACCATGGCCAGGTGTCCGTTGCGGCTCGCCAGGTGCAAGGCCGTGATGCCGGCCAAGTCCTGGAAGGAACGAACGCCTCTGGGTGAACACTCCTAAAATCAAGGCTCCAAACCCCAGGAACATCGGTCCGCTTCGGTGGCTCGTGGCGCCCTGTGCTACAGATGTAAAAGGTGGTTACAGTAATTTCTATCAAAAGGCCCTCTAATGATATCACTTCCTACCTTGAGATCCATGTGACACCACCCCCACCCACCTCACCCCAAAACATCGGAAAAAAGGAGGCAAGGACTGACCACTCCGATCGGTCCAACACTTGGGAGTCTACTATTCACTTGGTGCCCAGCTCTGCCCTGCGGTCCGCATGGTCCACATCTGCACCAGCTTCCAGAAGCATCGGCAGCCGCTCCACCTGGCCCTTGGCAGCCCAGGTCTGCAGCGCCGCCGAGGCGCTGGCGCTTCCCGCGCCGGAAGACCCGGACAGCCGGGGCAGCAGGGTCAGAAGGAGCCCATGAGGCCACATGGAGTGGACGTGTCAACTCAAAGAGTGAAAGATGTAGTAGGAACTGTAGGAATGTTCAGTTCTCTCTCTCTCTCTCTCTCTCTGACTCTCCCTCTGGCGAATCTGGCTGACACACTTCTGCTCACCAACTGACCATTTTCCACTTCCATCTTAGCGAGTTGGAGTTCAACCAAACGCACCGCCGTTCGGCGGCATCTTCGGCCGATGGGCAGGAAAACGTGGCTGCAGGTGATGGTCATCCATTTCCAAGCATTCGCGAGGAATTCGCAAGGAAAATGGAAGAAAACTCGTTGCTATGTATAGTTATATATATATATAGAACTGAAGTAGCCGAGTGTCCCTTTGGGATAGCTGATTGACAGTGCGACCTCCTTTTCAAGATGAGGAGATTCAGGATCACACGGCTTCGCTCAGCAGGTACGAAAGTGCTCCACGACACTATGATTGAATTCACAGCCATAGAGTCCTTCTCTTGGTAAAACCATGCGCACCACCAGTGACCAAACTCCCGCCAACCTCCGCGGAATCCCCTCGGCCCTCGGCCCTCTCTCCTGGCCTTTGGGCCTGGCGCCGGCGCCCTGGGTGCCTTGGGCAACTTGGACGCCTTAGGCCTGGTCGCCTCGCCTGGTCAGGACCCCCTCGCGACGACGGATTGGATGCGCCACCCGGGGTCCCCGAAAACCAACGGCGGGTGGCCTCCGCACCCGGAAGGCTGGGCCGGGCGCCCGTGCTTGGGGCCGCGCGCCCGAAACGGTGGGGCGATATGGGAACATCTGACCGACATGCAGGAAGGACAACGCATCCCACAGGACAAAGACCTCTCAAGTTGCCAGTCTGGTTGCACCCGGCAGGTTAACATGGAACCTGAAAGTCGAGCTTTGGAAGACAATTGCCCTCTGCAATCCAAGATCATCCCAAGTAGGTGGTTTTTTGGGGGGTCCATGTTATCTGCATCGGCTTGGACCAACAGCATTGACACAAACATGTGGCCCTCCATGCGACTTCCCATGTCGCAGTCGCATGTCCCAACAAACACGTGGAAACAAACAAACTCTGAGTGAGTGTGACTCGCAAGGTAGACTCTTGAAGCAATCAAACCTCCCCCTTCTACGCCACTTCGGATCGAACAACCTCTTCATACCGGAGGTGTCATTCATTTTTGTTGAGTCATCATTGATGGAAGCTTCGGGGGAGCGAGTTTCCCCAATGGAATGTTCTTTGGGTTCACCCACCCTCTAGTCTTCCCTACCAGTCGCACCCTGTTCCGGTCCGGAGGGTCCTTCCCCCCGCCTGGGTCGGCATCTGCCGCCTTTAGAAGGCGACCGGTGGTGTGTTAGCTGGTGCAGGCGATATGGGTCATCAACTACTTAGAGTCCTAGAATTAGGTCTATACGGGAACATCTACGGGAAACTCTGCTCAAGACTAGGGAGTTCCTGTAAAGATGTTCCCTTAGCCCCAATTGTGGTACATCGACATCAGGGGTGCAGAAGGTACATCGACATTACTTGCATGAGGCTGTTGTTCTTCGTGATATAATTCGTCTCACAAGACTTCTTGGAGGACAACCACACCAGGCCATTTTGTGTATATAGCTGGTATACCAGCTGGTAATAATATAGCTGGTCACTTAGCTGGTCAACTATCAGCCGCTCCTTTTACAGTAAAAATGTCCTTTATCGCTACACCATGCCGCTATCATTTCTATCGTTTTGAACGTCTTGGAACCTTCAAGAAGAACACCATCAGCCTCCTGGAGTCCTGGGGTCCTGGTTGCCTCCAATGGCTTAGTTGGATTGCCATAGTGACGAGGCATGTGGCACCTGTGAGCCACCTGTGAGGCACCTGTGAAACCTCAAAAGGATTCAAAAGGGCTAAACACAACATATAAAACCCCCGCCTGGACCTGCCCATTCTCTTCCCAAACGCCGCGGACAAACCCACGACGTCACAACCGCTTCCTTTCTGTCGTCGTTGTTTACACCGGCCGATCCAGGCCCCGATCGACACATCGGTGGAACCGAAGGGCCGAGTCCGTGGAACCGAAGCCCGAGGGAGCGCCCGTCTCGACGTCTGCGTCGGGACTGACAGCCTACTTAGTTGTTTGGTCCAACCTGCCTGACACTTCTGATGTTGCCCATCCCAAGGGCAGCAAGTGGCTGAACATCACGTCGCTTGCCGTGAAGTTGCAACACGGATCAACTAATCGGCCGATGGGCCGGACATGGTGGGACGTGGGGACTGTGGGGACATGGTGGGACATGAGGCTTCGCTGAGGTGGGATCCAGTAATGTAACAGTAGACTCTTGATTGAAAAACCCAACATATGAAGAGTTTGTTCAATCCAAATGGGGAAGGGTGCATTTATTCCAAAGGTCTAGATGATGTTAAAAAAATGTCACACCGCTTTGCATGGCGAATGTCCGGCCATCCATTGCCGCCAGCCCCCAGTTTCCACCTCACTGTTACCCTTTCCCGACCTGGACATTGGACTTGGCTGGCTTCGCCGGCTTGGCTGGCTTCGGCTGCGCAGGTGCATCGGGCTTGGGCGCCCGGACCTGTATATAAACAATCCGACATCGTCGACATCTTCTTTCGCTGGGGTCTCCTTGAACTGGGTGAAGTCTTGGAAGTTCAACTTGAGTTCCTTTTGGGTGGGCTGGGTCTGGGTGATAGCAGCCAATCAAGCGGACAGTGGTCAGTCTTCCACTTGCAACCCGGCGAAGAAATGGCAATAATAAGAACGGATTGCCAAATTGTCACCCAAAGACTGACCTCCCAGCGTACCTATGATGCAGCACTTTTTACTACATCCTTTTTGCTGGTGAAACTGTCGTTGTCTTTGCAAATGACGTACATTTTGATTTTTGATTTTGCAGTCACTTGCAGTCTCTTGCAGCCACTTGCTCAGGCAGCCCCTTGGCAGCCACTTGCGAGTGGCTGCAACATGGAAAATCCAAATGCGCTCCTCCTGCGAGCTCAATGACACTTTGGCCATTCCTGGTGGGGGTGTTGCCCTTTCCAACTGTAGGACTCTCGGTGGTCGTTCTGTGATTCACCCAGCAGTCGTGCACATTTGCGCACTGGTCCTTCGTGGACTTCAGGCACCCCTGATTTCCAACTGCGCGCAATGTTCTCAGCAGTTTCACTGCATTTGCCTGCCTTCTTTCCGCAAAGCCCAATCGTTTTAAACTGCCCACAACACAACGCAATGCTCCATTCCTTGCCGTGCTCTCTCGCAAATTTGACAGAAGCTCAACAATTGAGCCATCCAATTGTGCAGTCGAAGCAACGAATTCACATGGCGCGCCCCTGGGATGACGGCTCTGAAGCCAGATGACAGAAAGCTCATTCGCAAGCCGAGCCGCCAGGTTCCTGTCACAGCCCTTTCCTCTGGCTCTGGTTGCTTGACTGCTGTATGTCGCTCGGGTTCCACCGAGGTAGAAAACAACCCACCCTTTTTCCAGCAGATCCTGTCCGGTAAAGAAACCGGAAAGAATTGCTTGCCTCCGTTGACCGTTGCTGAGCTTTATTCTTGTGCGTTTGTTGTCCTTGAACGCGAATTACATTGCCACTGGCAGGGAGGAGAAGAAGGAAGCACCATGACTGGAATCTGCCCAGAAGACCTCATTCATCTCTAGAAGGGATCTCAACGAATCATAGTTTGACGTCACTGCAGAGCACACCGTGACACATTCAGAACGCGAAAGAATTCCTTGCTCATGCAAGGAACGAATTTGTGTGTCCAACTGTTTTATTTCGAGGAGCATCCCTCCCTATTGCGACCTTTGCATCTCCCGCACACGTTTGGTTCCAGTGAAACACACCGTAAGGCGTAGAATTTCTCCCTCGGAAATCATGCGCAAAGTATGCATGAGCGCGTTGAAGCAGGCGCTGCCATCCGTGTCGGGCACTGTTTCAACAAAAGCGCCAAGCCCATCACCTTCGGCTCTCAGATACTCTGTGGCCAGCTCCGCGCCTTCCGCAAGTAAAACCTGCGGGACATGTGTTGAAATCCCCCCGCACCGGGCCGCCAACCCAGATTAGCACGCGAACGGGCTGAGAAACAAAGGTTTGGGCCAAAATTGAACATTGCCCAATAGCGTCTGCATGTTGCGGCGGGTGACTTGGATGAGCATGTGTTGTGTGAACCAAAACATCAGGTCCAAAATTCAGGTGTTGATACGATCAGTTTTGTTTAATCTCTGTAAAGGGCGCACACTTACAAAAATGCAACCAACTTCGTTCTCATCTACTGTGCCCGAACCCTTTTCCCGCAAGAGTGGTTCATCAATCAGCATAATTCGCCCTGCCTTTTGCCACAATTTCACGGAACATCGAGTCGAATCGATCTACGAATCGACTTCGACACTGGAAGGCCTCACATGGCGACCTCACACCCGAGGCTCAAATCGAGGTTGGTCAAGTGATGGTTTGGGGCTGACTTGTTTTTTTGGGAAGCCGGCTGCACACCCGTCGCAGGTACCATAATGGGCTGGAGGACGGCCTCGATGGCCTGTTTGGCCTCACCAACACAATTCCACGTGTTGTCGCGGCCCTGCTTCGCTTTAAGCAGGCCCTTATCTTTCTGCGCATCGTCAAGGAGACCTTTTTTTCCATTCACATCTTCTTGCAGGTTCGTTCAATTCATGCAGGTACCTTCGCCTTGGCACGCCGCATCAGCAAGAAACATGCGCCCACCTGCTGCGCGGTGTTATTTTGCCTCCTGGGAACACCGAGAAGACCAGCCATTGCCAAGTTTTGCTGGTAGAACTACGATGATATGATGATGTCTGCAAAGCGAATAGCAGCGATTCTTCCCAGTGATGTCTGACCCCGTTCCCACTTGGGCAATCAATCAACCCCTCAGCTGGTGGCCAAAAGACAGAAAGACTTACAGGCCAACCGTCCGCATGGTCCTAGCCATCGAGAGCTTGCGCCGGTGGTCAGCAGCCTTGCAGAACCCCCTTGGTGGTTGTCGAGATTAGCCCGCGGATGCTGCTGGCATCTTCGATAATTTTTTGGTCAAGGTTTTCTGCTCCAGAAAGCTCCAGCTCCCAAAGGCCCTCCAAAATCCATCACAAGTGCGTTCTGCGCATGTTCTCCATCTTGGCCCCAGGTAGCGCTTATGGGGGCTAGATCTTGTGGATGACCAACCAAAGACTTCGGTGTTCTCTTAAGCACTAAGGTCAGGTCAAAAACAAGGGAGTGATGATGATGTTTGGAAATTCTTGCTGGATATTGTTGGATCCATGCTTGGCTGCTTTCCTTCGTGGGAAATACGTGGGAATAGACTGCTAAGGCCAAAGCCCAAAGCCAAACCAACCGCCGCACCACCGCTTCGTCCATCTATAGTTTCTGCACGGGCTCCTTTTCCAAACCTCCAATCCAATCCGCTAAATAAATGGAAACCTTCCTGTCCCAACCTGAAGGGTTACATGACATAAATTAATGTAGACTCTTGACTAGCAAAAGCCTCCCAAAACAGAATGGGACATCCTCATCTGGGGGGGTTGATGAATCAAGTGTCTACTAGACATGAATTACATGACTGTGACTCTAACAGATCTTCTTTCCCTTTCACGGGCTCGATCTCGCCGTCCCACGGCCGAGGTCTACCGCGCCTTCGAGGGCGGGGCACCTTGCTTCCCGGAGCAATCCTGGGGACGAGAGGGGAAGACACGGCCACGGCCACGGCCACCCAACCGGAATTCGTGCCAAAAGCTCTGTGAAACATCAAGGTTTGAGAAAGAACAGAAGTGGTTCATGTGTCCGAGTCCCATTCCCTTGTAAGGGTGATGGTTCTAGACACTGAGCATGATTGTTTGCATCTGAAGAAACTTTTCGCCGCAGGCTTGCAGAGCAAACGTAGTTTGGGAATGGTTGAGCCTCTGTCTGTGGGGGTTGGTTTGTAGGGAACCTCCGATAGCCGCCGCGTGGTGGTCGTGATGGTGGCCGACGGTCTATCCTTTTACGTTGACACATTGAGAACGGTTTTCCCAGAACGGCTCCATATAGAGGCACACGAATGAGCCAGAAGAACACACGAACCATGAGCCAGACTTTCAGATACCCAGTAGCATTGGGTTCTTCACCGGCGCTTTGTTGGCATGGGGAGTGTGATCACCCCCTGACTCAGCACACAACAATAGCAAACAAAAGGCCACTCCTAAAGTCCAAACCCGCCAAACCCCACATGTTCGACTGGTCAAGAAAACTCCAGGACCGCAGTGATGAACGGGGCAACGAGGAGCTGCTCATCTGCAGTTACAACATGTTACAACGATTAGCTGGCAAACGAGATCTTCTGAGGGTTAGCTGGGTTAGCTATATTGCATGCCAAGAAATCTCCAGAACCAACCTCAGACTCTGAGTACCTGCCCTCTCAAGCTAGCCCAAGGCACATAGGCATGCACCTTCCCAGCGTCATCGAAGTGCACCGCTTTCACCATCGTCGTCATCCACCCGCCTCGCGGACCACGCTCCCGAGCGGCGAGAGAGCCGGCGGACTCGGACGCCGTCGACGGCTCGGCCTTTCGAAGTGCTGTAGTACTGCCTCGGTCGGCGGGACGCGGCGGGACCGGCGGGACCGCTGTTAAGGTTTGCTGAGATGGCGGAAATCATCGGGCGAAAACGGCCGGGGGCGCCTGGCTAAGTGGAGTGCGACCCTGAGGTGGCTGCAAACTTGCCATGCCTGGTTGGTGGTCGTTCTATCCAACCCACGTCAAACAGATCAAAGTAAGTAAATATAGGAGTCAGTGGGCTCCATCATCCCCAAAGATGAAAAACATCTGAACCACACCCAGAAACAGGATAGAGTTGCCCACTTTGGAGTTCACTTGACACCACCAACTCAGTTTCACTTGCGGATGTCGCGGGTCGACCGAGTCTTTGGCCCTGAGCGTCTGACACTTGATCTCCCACCTTGAAGACAGGCCGCGGTCCTGCCAAAAGGCACGGTTCTTCACCGCCGAATGACGTAGCCCGAAGGACTCCGAAGGACCTTGCGACGTGGGGATTTCGCGCATGTGATGTAATAAGTACCCATGTAAGTAGCGCCGTGGTGGGGGATGATGTTAATATTAATTAGGGTATATACACATGGGTATACGTACTTGACGTTTGAAGGATGATGGTGGTGCCACAATGTTGGAATCCCGACAACATTGAAAGCCCTGCCTTTCGAGCATCGCAACTCCCAGATTCCTAGAGATGTCTAAGAGTACACCAATCACCTCCCCACAGGTTTCATCCTCACCCCATCCACCCTGCTCCCCTTCAACGCCGCAAGTGAGAGTTCAGTTCAGCCGCTTTCGCCCAGGTCTCTCCCCAGAAACTCCGAAGAAAAAGGAGCGCCGTGACGCCTCCTGGCGCTGAAGGGGGGTCTGAAGACGACCCTTTCGCTGAAAAAAGACCGGGCCTCCGGAGCTCGAAGGCGTCACGCCGCGCTTCCTGGCCGTCACGGCGCGCGCGCTTCCTCTCCAGACGACGGGCCGGACGGGGGGCACTGTGGGGGGAGCGGGGTGGCGGGGCTGGCCATATGGGAGGGCCCGTCCATGTCTGCAGAGGGGTTCCGTGTCTGGGGTTAGAGCTGATGAGATGGCCAGATGGGGCGGCGGACGGCTGTTCTGCGGCGGTGGCGTTTGCCGCGTCACCGGTGTTTGGGACGGCCAGGTCGAATCGGTTGAGGATCGCCACTCGTGGCGGCTTCATTATGGTTCACCTCAGTCAGGCTGCCTTTTGGATGTAAGTGAAGTGGCTCCAACGTCTTTCTTGAGATGTTGTCCGAGTGTCACAAAGCGCTTCGAATATTTCAGGGTATTCAGGCCAGGGGCTCACTGAAAACCATTCAGTTTCGGGGCCCATGTCTTGGCATCATTCCACCTGGATTGGGAAGGCTCAAACCCTGGCACCTTTGAATAGGACGGGGATGATTGGCCCATGGATTTCCCCACTTTCGCGCTCACCTTTGCCTATGTTATCCTATGTTATATCAATGTTTGCAGTTGTTAATTGTGGATCAACTTGTTGTACATTGCTGAACTGAACTCAAAGCTACCGATACTGGCGTTGGACAAACAAACGGCGCATGCCCTGGACTACTTTTCATGTTGTAGAGTAAATGCAAGTGGCCCAAATCCAGAGGTAGTGCCCTTCAAAACTGGTAACCTGCACAAGCGTGCTCATGCTGGCAGCCCAACACCAACCACTCTGAGACCCACTTGCTCATCTTGATCAACTCTACAGTAGATCAGCCTCTCTCCACTTGTCATCACAGAAACGATTTCACTTCACTCAAACATGCCGGCCCCACCTCTTCTCTCCCACCTGCGACTCCTGTGACCCCTCTGGAGCCTTCGCCCTCGGCTCATCGGCCGGTACCGCCGGCTTGGTCGTGGCCGGATCGGGGCGCGGCGGGGGGGCGCGCGGCAAGGCCTTGGGAAGGAGGCCTGCAGGCTCCTGGCGGCACATGTGCGGCTTTGAACACCCTGAGGCGGCACCACTACACGGGAGGTCAAACAACTAAGAAACACTTCTATATACTGCACAAGATAATATACATATATACACATACACGAATATCGTTGAATGATTAATTGTTCAATACAGAATATTAGTATAGGAGAATACCTAATTAGGAGCTTCTCATATTTCTCACCTTCTACCTCCTCCCGTGCACCGCCCCCCTCACCTGACTTTTGAGCACAGGAGAGCCCACCGCGTCCCAAAGCGAGGTCTTCTCACCACCTGCCACCACGGGATGCGACGCGAGGCCAACCGAGTCTGGCCGTCCAAAACGGCCCAAAGAGCTGCGAGACCGGAGGGGTCTGGTGACCAAAACCAACCTATGCCTTCGAGCGAGCGATGGTTCACACTACCGAGCGTGACGTGGGCATGTCTGGGCATCTCGCAAAATCGGGATGAAGCAACTGAGGTCCATAGATAATCTGTCGAAGCTCGTGATGCCTTCCCACCTTGGGCTTACACATGTCAGGGCGCAACCGGGTGAAGCTAAAATGACGTCCTGATGGCGCCTGGCTTGGCTTTGGCGATGAATTTTTCTGCCTTGGGCTGGGCGCCGTCTGGGGGATTGGCACTCTGGCCACCGGGCAACCTGCGGAACTGGGGCGCTGTCTGGCGCCTTGAGACCAGGCACCGCACCACACCGGAAAATGCCAAGCCGGGGCGCCACCGTCCTGCTGAAAAACCTGCCTCCACCCATTTCACACATCATGAAGTCGGTTTTCTGGGGCGGTCGATGAATGCAGTACTAGTAGTTTCTTGTTACCTTGTAGTATGGCCTTCTTGCTACGAACGTCGCTTCGCTGCTCCGTTCGTCGCTTAGCTGCTCCTTGGTTCCGAGTAGTCTCTAGTTACACCGGGCCCACCGGGCCCTGATCGTTAGGAAGCAAGGCCTTGGAAACGCGTATGACCGCTGACCGTGCCGTGCCGTGATGGGCCGTTTTTTTGGATCACAAACTCTTAGTTTTCCATGCGTTCACAACTGGTCAGTCTTTCCCTGGTCTGTCTTGTATGGGCTTCGTAATAGTCTGGAATGTGGCATTCCTGGATCTTGATCAACAACATCCAAGTGAAGGATAGATCCTAAGGTCACTCGAGGCTCCGAATGCAACGTAAGAAACGACAGTTCCGAACATGAAGTCCAACAGAATTTCCCCCACTTCCCTCTTGACCCAAGACGAGTTGAAGGAAAGACACCAACTATTGAAGAATTGTAGAATGTTGCAGATGTCTCTTGTGGATCAGTTGTTCAGAATTTCCGTCTGTTTTGTGCCACCCTCTGTCTGCGCTCGTCACGCTCCATCTTCTGAGGATGTGGCATATTGCACCAACGCCTCCGCTGTCGGAGCAGGAATGGAGCTCCGCTCTGGCCTAGGCGGACAGTGAGATGCAAGAAAACGCACCCACGCATCGAGACGTCATATCAAGATATATATATCCAAAATAATCCTGGATGCTTGATCTACAAAATGGCCAGTCATTCCACACCTGAGATGGATCTTCCATCGAATTCCCCCCCACTTTGCCCCTCCGCTCCACTTTTGCTCGCTCGGCTCGTCCGCGGCCTCGCACCGGTCGCACCTGAGCGACCGGGGGCGACGTCGGACCTGACCAGATGGTCTCACCACCTTCTGACGATATGGAGCCAGACTTGGATTGGAAAGAAGGAACGATATACTTGGTCCAATCCAAGATGCTTCTACATTTCTTGGACATCCGAAGACCAAACCAGTGCCAACTGTTGACAAATGGAGGCTTTTTGGGAAGGCCCGCGCATCGCATCAGATTCGCTATATATAATATATATTATATATAAATATATACCTAGAGCCTCAAGGACCTCTCTTTTTGAAGGTCATTCAGGAAAACCTGGCTCTCAGTGATAAAACCTGGTTTCTCAACAAAGGGGCCGTATTTTTAGCAGACCCGTAGGTTGATGAGGTCAGCTTCTGACTGTTGCACCAAAGGTTTCAATTCTTTGATTCCCTACCGTCTGAAGTCAGAAACATAACCACTCACAACCTGTGAGATCCGGATTGAAGCCGATCGCGCACTCCTGCATTGCATACAAGGCCCAAGCCCTACAGGAGGGCCACCATGTTATCTTTTTTGAAGTTGCCCAATGAACCGATAAGCCTTATAAGACAAGAAAACACACATAGTGTTTTGTGGTTCTCCATGTTTGGAGCATCGCAAGTGAATCTTATACCAGCCCTCGCTGCAACAAAAAATGTTCTTGAGATTTCTTGAGTCCACCTCGCTGGATGAACACTGGCTCGCTCTTTTTCTCGCCAAGTGCATTGGTGTGGAAGAGCCCGGACCTTGGAGTCGGGGTGCAAGTTCGGTGGGAAGGTTGAAGCCACAAGGGATTCTACCTTTAGTGCCTTTAAAGATCTTTTAGAGCAACAGTGGTCACGATTCAACAAAGGCGACTTTTGAGGTTTAGGAAGGCATTCACAGTCGTTTTATGAATTGTGTCATTCTGTATTGTTTTGTGCACGGGATGGCTTTTCAAAATCATGAATGAAGTGAAGCATTTGGCTTAAATTTGTTGTTCAGGGACTGCTTGGATCCTCAATCTGTCAATCCTTCTGCTCTCCTGCAGCATGGTTTCTTTGACAGGGCTGGCTGAAATCTGGGAGGATTCCCGGCTGATCAGGAAAGCTGTTCGGACTAGGAAGTCCATCTTCACGCTCACCGAGGGTGAGGAAGATGTGCAGATCTGTACCAAATCTGCCGGCAGGAACTTTGATGTTTTGGCCCCCCTTGGTGAAGCATATGGTGGAAGATGGTGAAGTTCGCATGCATCACCTGATGTCCATTCGAGTGGAGAACCTTTGTCGTGCTCAATTGTTTGGAAATTGTTTTCTGTTGAATTTGTAGTTAGAGTCTTCTTGGCCTAGTGTTCTCCTATTCTCCTATTCTCTGGGTCAGCCTTCAAAATCTATCGCCTCAGGATTGGCAAGCTTTTTGAGAACATGGCAATCACCGTGACCAACAAGAGCCTGAACAAGGATGCAAAAATTGCAAAGAAGTTCCTGGTCCTGATCAAGCGCAAGCTTCAGCGTGGGCAAATTCCCAGGTCTCGGAAATTCTGTCAATTGTTGGCTTTGCTCGATGCATCCAAGTTTGAGGACAGGATACCAAAGTCATTCATGCTAATGCACACTGCCCGGTTCAGTATGTTGCAGACTTGAAACTCATTTTTTTTTGAGAGCTCAGTTCAGCGAGTGTGACTCTGACACTGTATGCAACAATTAAAGTTGACTGGAAGAATTTACAGCCAGTTTGATGTGTATTCTTCCTTCTAGGGTTTGATGCTCGTCCCTGCTTGCCAGGACAAGCCGCAGGTGAGTGAGGATGAGGCTGAACAGGAGGAAGCGGTTGTGCTCACTGAGACTGAAGAAGAGGAAGAAGAAGCCTCACCCACTGAAGCTGGTCCTGGCCAATCCGCTGCTTCTATGGTGGCTCAGACACCAGTGGCCCCAGCTGCCCCAGCTGAGACCAAAGAAGCGATCGTGCTCTCTTCCCAAGAAGAGGTGGAGAATGGTGAGAGGCCTCCTCAGGCAGCTCCTGTCTCTGAGGAATGCGGCCTTGCTGCTCCTGTTGAGTCGGAAGGCCATGAGGAGGGTTGTTCTCAAGTTGTGGTACCAAAGGTGGAGATGACTGATTCCCAAATACCGGAGGGTTACTATGATGAGGACAAGCCCTTAGTCAAGGAAGAAGGTAAGCTTGAGGAAGAAAAGAAGGTTGGCTGCGGGAACATGAAGGAGATGGAGAAAGAGTTGAACAAATTGAAGAAGATCCAAGCAGCCAAGTGTCTTGGATCTGCTTCACTGCTTTGTCAATATGTTTTTGTACTAGAGTTCCACTTAGAGTTCTAGAGGTGTTAGGGCCCTTGTTTGGGTATGAGATTGAACAAGTTATGTTCTGAGGAAAGCTGCAGCCAAGCTCATTGAGCAGGAGGGCAAGGCGAAAACTCTTGAGCAAGTGGCATACGGCGGTGACAATGCGGATACGCAAATCGCACCGGAGCTCGAAGGTATTGGGCACAGGTTTCTTGAGCTTCAGCCACCAATGGAAGAGCTTCCAGAGAGTAAGCTTGCTTCTTGTCTTTTCATTGAGGATACCTTTTAAACATCTTGGGATTGCTGGGCTTTGCTAAATCTTCTGTGTGTGAAATGTGAAAATGGTTCTGATCGTCGTGATTTTGTTTCCTAGGTTCTGCGACGGATGCAGTTTGGTGTCAAGACTGGTGGAGAAGAGGCTGAGGAGATTGCTCCAAAGGGAAAAGCAAAAGCAAAGGTTAGGCCAAAGGGCAAGGCCAAGGCCAAGGGCAACGCCAAGAACTCAGCTAAGGCAGCTAAGTCAAGGCCTGCTGCCAAAAGCAAGGCAAAGGCAAAGCCTGATGAAGCTGATGAGGAAGTTGAGGAAGTTGAGGAAGTTGAGGAGGAAGCGGAGGAGGAAGTGGAGCGTCCAGAGAATGAAGTTGAGGAGGAAGTGGAGGAAGTGGAGGAAGTGAAAGATGCACCTTCAGACACTGAAGCTGCGCGTGGCAAGGCTGCCAAGGCGAAGGTGGTCAAGGGAAAGGAGACCGAGCAGAGGAAGAAGGCTGACGAGGAGAGGGCTGATCCTGAGAAGCCAAAGCGCCGTCGGAAGTCAGCAGAGACACCTGCTGTCACAAAAGGCAAAAAGACTAGCCCAAAGGATGCATTGGAAGAAGTGAAGGGGGAGGAGGAGGCCAAGGAGCCTAAGAGAAAGAGGCGCTCTGACCCAGGTGAAGCGGGAAAGACTTTCGCCAAGAGGCGTTGCCCAGCTACGACCTTTGGTGCAGCGAAGTTCAAGGCCATTCAGCAAGCCTTCTTGGATGAGATTCGTCCTTTGCTGACTGCATACTCAGCGCATGAGGACTGATAATTTTAGAAACATTCTACCAGTAGGTTTTGAATGCCTTCCTGTTGTCGCCATTTATGATGTACAAAACAAAACTGAAAAGTGGAGATCTACAGTACAACTATGTGTTCTAACTACCAGTTTGCGAAGACGTTCATCCATTTGCCAAATAAATTACACAAGTACAATCAACTACACCGAATGCGGTCCAGGATCAATTCTGGAGCTTTTGCAACAAGGAATGGGAGAACCATGATGTTACGGAGACCAATGTCGGGGACATGGCCAAGTCTGCTGCTGCCCTTTACCTGGCCCGCCACATTAACTGAGATGCTGGTGGTACAGATTGGTTTGGATCGCAGGTGCTAGGGATGCACTTTTTGCTAGGATCCACCGGAAACTTTGGCATACAACACTAGTCAACCCTGTCTGGCGCAACAAACAGCTGGCGTTAGCTGGTATTCTCTGCAGGGTGTCGAAGCCTGTGAAACTGAAACTGTGGCATTCCAGAATACAAAAACTATATAAAAACTTGGTGAATTACTTCTTTACTCGGGGGCCCCCTTGAATCTGTTTAGTGTTTTGCAGGGGGCTTGCAGGCTTCTTTTGCAGAAGTTCCGTGCCAGATCGTCAGACCTTTTGTGAGGCCTACGGAGGAAAAATGTTTGATCATTTGAGCCCTAGATGACATAAAATGCTCGACATGAAAACAACTCTTCTTACACTCCTTCCCCGTCCCCAAGTTTCCGCTGTGGCTCCAAGCAAGCTGGATGTGCTGCAACGGCTCAGGTCACATCGATGGATCCTCGCAATCGTCCAACTGACTCGCTTTGGAAGGGTTAGCCGTGCGATTGCATGAGTGAGTCGATGCAACTGGCATTCCAGCTTCACTTCATTGAATTTGAAAGGTTCAACGAATGGAACGCTTTAGCTGCTTTGTTTTTCAGCCTGGCCGCCCAGCATGTGGCCCAGAACACTAGTTTATACAGATTAGAACAACGGTCCCATGGCTCTCGATCGGTCAATGACCCCCAAATTCGAGTTGCTTCTCAAGCGCTTGCACGCTATGGGAGCACCAAAGGTGGGATCATGACACTGTCTGTCCCTACCCCGCCCCCCTTCTCGATCCTTGGCTCTCGCAGGTGTTGTTGGGCTGCATCATTTTGCTAGCCCTGAACTCGAAGGTTCAGATCTTCACGGAGGTCTGGGATAATGGAACCGAAAGCACAAAACTCTGGCAAGTACAAGTGCATCTTTTGCATTGAGATGTAAAACCCCCTTTTCTTGAAGGCCTACACCTTCCTAGAGCTTTTTTCGGGCGCTGGGTGGGTCTCAAGATGCATGCGTACGGGTGGCCAACCAACTTGCAGCCTGGACATCTTAGCTGGGCTGCCAATCCCAGACAAGCAGAACCCATGGGATCTACTGAGTGATGCTGGCTTTTCGTTTCTCAAGCAGCAAATGGATGTGTCTAAAACATGTTCAAAAACCACTTCAGCCAAAACCACATGTTAAACCCTCTGATCAACCATCTTCAGGGTCCCTCTTCTCGGGAGTCCAGTGGGGTACAGCATGGTTCAACCTTTCCTCACCCAAGCCTCATGGGATCCTTTTTGTCGTGTACTATTGGCTAAGCTGAGTCTGAGTGAAATCTCTTTGTGATATACGGGTCCTGTTTTGTGGGTGGA